ACTCACATACCAAATTTAAGCTGATTGCGCAGGGAATGGCCACAATTCGATCTGTGTATGGCCAGCTTAAGGGAATATCCCACAAACCAGGTCAGAGAACACATTAAAACTTGATAAAGTTTCTTTAGTTTCTCTTCAAATTAACTAGGGATGTTTAGATACCAGTGCCTGGAACCTGTAACCGCAGATGTGCAGGCACTTGTCATTTTCACAAGAACTACCAGGGTTGCAGCTGTGACAGGGCTCTGGCGTTCCACCACTGTCCTGAAATCATTAGTCTGTATTGTTTTAGAAAAACTGCCACATGGCACTAAATAAAAAGGTATCAGTAATTGGTATCTGTATCGGTACTTGAACTTGGTTCTGTACATTTACTTATACATCCCTAAAATGAACTATATAGACATTGGATGGTGACAGAACAACGTGGCTTTTCCTTGTTTAACACAATCATTACAATAACACGCCTGCTTATATTGCCTGAGAACAACTTGACATTCCTGGTGCCAGCGGAAACAATATTGATCTTCTGAAATGATCGAACCCTGCTATTTCCTTCTTTCACTGGAGAATGATCACGAGTGATAGCTCTCTTCCATAATTAGAACAATTTGTAAGCCATTCAGCAATCATCTATCATGTCCATGGGCAGCTTGGTCTATCGCAGGAAAGTTCGGTCTAGAGCTATGCCAGTTATCACCAGAGGCGTGCATTGAATGTAGCATACATTGCATCAATGGGTTTAGTTCCACTTAAAAGTGTATTTTCAGGTATTACTCAGATTCACCCCCAAACCTCCCTGTCCTCCTCTAGGGCATGTCCCAGCATTTATTTCTTTTAACTTGGTCCTGTAGTTAGAAACAACATTTGTCACTCCTTATGATAACATCATTAGGCTTATAAAATTCTTGCAGGGGCAGCTGTTTGGAGTTCATATTCTATTAATGTAGGAAAGTCCCCCAGAACTACATCTCCCAAGTACACTTTCCCTTCAAAGTGTGTGAGCAGGCTTTTGGGAATCAAGTAAGCAGCATTGCTTTCCTGGGCAAGGTATCCATGTATGCACATGAAGTGGAACAGAGAGGGACTGAGATAGGTGGAGTTCTATGGTCCAGCAAGCAGAGCTGACAATACTAGCTGGGATTTCAGCGTAGCAAAGCACTATGTTGTCAGCCCAAACAAGAAATAAGGAGCACACTGGATTTCTGGCAGATCAACAGGTATTTTTCTGTACTTGCAGCCTTTTTGAAGGAATGAAACATGGGGAACTGTGCATGCATTGGACAGATGTGCTGACTTTTTATTTTACCCTGACATACACTTTAATTTAAAACATCATTACTGAACCTGGCTTGCTATCATGGCTGCTAAAATGTAGGCACTGCTGAATAGTCTTGGTTGCAGTTTGGTTTTGCTTTCCTCTGAGCCAACACTGCAGTTGGCTAAGAGCAAAGCTGGCCATATACCTTACAATTATTTGCAGATTTTCTGTGGTCAGATGGAAAAGGTGCAACATATACCTCCATCTACACTTAACTGTGTGGATGGAATAATCTTCACCCGGGCCAATCTGTTGCACTTTTTCCATCTGACCACAGAAAATCTGCAGATAATTGTAAGGTGTATGGGCACCTTAAGAAGCTGAACTTGATTGAGGGCTAGTTCACACCAGATGCAGTAGTGATGCAGTCCGTTCCGTTTTGCAGCTGCATCAAAAACGTATCACAATGCTTTCCTATGGTATTTCTTGTGCTCTGTTCACACCAGAGCAGTCCGTTCCGATGCAGCCAGAAAAAATACTGCTTGCCCTATTTTATCTGCATCGGATTGCGACGGAATGCATCAAAATGCATCGGAAAGCGCTGGAACGCACCTGAAATCCCATTTTAAGAAAAAAAACTCCCAAAAACACATCAATCGCGGCAAAACGCATTGCACCGCAGGTGTGCAGGCACCTGCAATTCCGATGCAGTTCTGGTGTGAACTAGCCTTAATTCAACCTTATTGACTATGTAACTATATGAAATGCTTTGCAATGCAACTTTTCAAATAATATCTGTCGCGCTGTGACCTGCTTATGTTTAGTGGATTGGCTGGTGTGGTTGCTGCAGTTATATCGTGGTGTAAAATATCCACCTACTCATAGACCATATTGGTATTGGGAATGTACGCAATGGTCATGGTTTCTACTAATAGCCTTGTGTATATGGGTCAGTTTTAAAGTCTTTATTGTGAGGCCTTTCACTGCAGAGCATAATCTGGCCCAGAATACAGGGACCATTAAAGCTTTTGCAGTGTAAACAGGTTTGCAGGCTGTAGTTTATCGAAGGCAAAATGCATATTTAGTACATAGCCACACGCCATTCATTATTTACAGTGATATTTGCAGGATTTGAAGATTTATTCCTGGAGATTGCTGTCGCCGGAAATGTCCCTTTTATTCAGGCGTGGTTAATTGCACAGTAAAATCTTTTCTCATTTCCATATTTTATAGATGTATTCAGAAGGCTTGAAGTTATGCGGAATATGGTGATCTTGTGTGTCCTAGAGTGACTGGCCTAATAGCAAAATGATCAATAATTATAAAATAATGACATTTGTGCCTCTAATGATTTTGTATTTTATTATGACCTGCACAGGGCCAAAAATCCCAGATGGGAAGTAGTGGAACATCTGCATTTGCTATGCAGAATTATATAACGCTGAACTCAAAAATCAGAAATCAGCTCAATACACAGTTGAAATACATATATGAGACATGCCTTACTTACCAGAAGAGTCTATCCAGTTCTGAGGTTTACACAGCTCTGCCACTCGCAGAAGGCCTGCGAGTCCTCTCTCGCAGGAGGCCTGCGTTTGTTACATAATACAGGTCTTGTCACAGCCGCAGCTGTGACTGTACAGTAAAGGAGAAGCAGCACACTGATGAGCTCATCTCTGTGTCGCTCTGCTCTCTCCTCTGATCAGTATGCTCCTTGTTAGCACTGAAGCACAGCTAATTGTCTCCTTGTGCTGCTTCTCCCTCTCTTGGTCTGACCTCTGCTGTACAGGAGACTGCTAGAGGCTAATGCCAACTCAAATTCAGGTGCTTGCATTGTTTGCATTTAAAACATATATTTAATGATGTATTAAAGAAGAACAGTGGGAATATGAAAAGTTAACCCTTGCAGTGGGGCTACCCACACACTGCAAGGGTTAAGTGCTCATTTTTCTTTAAGGTGTAAAATATAGAATGCAAAACAAACAACCAGACAGTGCCTTTTCCTCGTATAATATAGTTTTATTAAAATACATTCTAAAAATTGACAAACTATTTGCATAGTTATATCCGGATGGATGATACAAGGCAGGTCCCCTCAGAGGCTACCTAGCTAGCTTATGCGTTTCGGGGGATATTCCACCTTCCTGTCTAAAATATAGAAGATGCACTCTCCTGATTCTTGGTTCCGCCTGGCTGCTAGACCGGTCCCTGCTTTTTTTATTTTTCTCTGGGCTCTGGAGGTCTAAGGACCTGTGGATCATCACGTGTACAACAGTGTATTAGACGTAAGGGCACCGAGGGACATACCACTGCCAGAAAGGGTGGGCAGAGAGGTAAGCTGTTACCCCTGCAGGATCGAGGATTGGGTGAGCATTTTTTTCTTTATTTTAGACCCTAGAGAAAAACGAGCACATAACCCTTGCAGTGCAGGGTTAGCCCCACTGCAAGGGTTACATTTTCATAATGCTCTGAGCTCTTCTTTAATAAATTCATAGATGCATTCATTTGTATAGTTTGTATCTACCTGGAGTTCAGATTTAATGTCCAGTAAATGCAATAGATCAAAAATGACATCATTCATTGCATAAAATGGTTTCATTCTTGTAGGTCAAGCTCTATTCCGTTTCTTTTTACTCTCCACTTCCATGTGGCTTGTTTATACCACAGGGCGCATGAAAATGCTTGGAAAAGGCATGCATGTTGATGTGTGGTTTTTTTTTAAGCATTGCGCTGTGCATTGAACTACGTTTTTCATGCATTTTTTGTACAACCCACATCAAGGGTCAAAAATCCTTTTTTTTTTTCATTCATAATAGGTGCATTGCATTATGCTGATGCACGTTGACATGCATTTTTGTGCACTGTGCTGCGTAAAAATGCAGGCATGCTGCAATTATATGCAGTGCATCACACACCCTACTGCCATGTTGTGTTGTTCTTTCTTGTCCCTATGTATTGCCTTATTCCTGTTCCTAGACCAACAATATTGTTCAGCCTTCATTGGCTGATCCCCTCAGCTTGTCAGAATTTGGAAGCTTCACCACTTTATTGGTATATAGATCCTCTGGTCTGGTCGAACGCTTCCACTCACTTCGCCTGAGCTCCGATGGTGCTTTCTACTCAGGCACTTACAGATTCTCCCCACCGGCCACCTACATCACGCCGAAGGAAAATATCTGCCTCTGGAACTAATGGGAAGAAGCAGCACCAATTGTTAGCAGTCACATGATCACATATTAACAATAATAATAAGGTATTTTGGTGGGGATTTATGGGCAGAAGGGATGTATTAGGTACCATCTGGGCTGTTGAGTAGTAGTTGACTTTACATCTACTTTAACAGAAGGATTGAAGAAATATTTTGGTAGTTCAGATTACAGCAGTAATCAGTTTCAGAACGTTGACTTTCCTTTTGTTCCTTGGCATAAAGTATGCACCGAGCTTTGAAAGCGGTAATTGCACTTTTAGGATGTAAAAGCTGTAACATTAGTGTATGTAGATCTAATTTCTGTTTCCTGACACAAGCATGGCAGCATAGTCAAATCTATGTTTCCTTGCATATGGGTCAGGAAAGCAAAATTACTGTAGTTAAGTATGTAATGATTTCAGTATGTTTAGACTGTTAATTAATGATTGCCAGTAAATATTTGGTTTGTACTGTAGATATAATCTGATGGTGCATGCTTGTCACTGGATATGCCTGATTTATATCCTCTGTATTTGTGTTGGTTTTTTTTAGGAAAATGATTCCAGTTACTGAATTCCGTCAGTTCTCGGAACAGCAACCAGCTTTCCGGGTCCTCAAACCTTGGTGGGATGTCTTCACTGATTATCTCTCGGTGGCCATGCTGATGATTGGCGTATTTGGCTGTACACTGCAGGTACTCTTTATTTTTTATTTCTTAACTTTTTAAAGCCAGTAAGGGCATAAAGGCCACGGCCACCCAAAAATTATATCTCAGTTTTGGATGGATGTCATTGTATTAAATCACATGGGGCCTTCTCACAGTTCTTTGGGCCCTTTCACATCTGCCTTTTCTATTGCAGTGCATTTCCACACGTGGTATTGGGGGTGTTAATCTGCTTTGCATTGAAGAAGAAGAACTCCGGGATTTTAAAAAACATACCCTTGCGGTGGGGTGACCCCTGCACTGCAAGGGTTTAGTGCACATTTTCTTTAGGGGCTTCAAATAAAGCAGATATACTTACCTGATTTTCAGTCCCACCAGACTGCTAGACCAATTCCTGCAGACTCTTCTCCCCTGGGTTCTGGCATCTAAGGTCATCACGTCTTATGCAGGTCATTTGACCTGCTTTAGACGTAAGGATGACAAGGGACATTCCACATTAGCAAACATGGCTCCTTCCAATGATACATTGGAGTGTGTGTAGCCACGCGAAACAGGAGATGGAAGTGTGTTTTTCCCAGGATTACCAGGTGAAAATAAAGATAAAAAACCCTGAAAAAAGAAAACGTATGCAGCCACCTTATCTATGGGCTGGTAAGCTGCAATAAATATTGTTTTTTTTGTTTTTGGGTTTAGATGCACTTTAGGAGGACACCTGCTCATGCAGACATAATAGGGGAGGAAAGCATGGTGTATCTACCCTTGTCCACTGGCAGGATGGTAATCAGCTTATTAGAAGTAACAGTCTTCTAACCTGTCCAAACAGTAATTCTTCCTAAGAGTGGCTGTGTGGATCTACAGGCATGGGACCAGCCATCAGGCAACTGTCTTCTCCATGTCTATGAGAACTTAAATTTAACCTCAACTGCACATTGTATTTTCTTTACACCATCTGTCCCTGAGCCTATCTTGGTATGGAACCTTCTTTATTTCTCCATAAATCATACAAAAACTTTTAATATATTGCAGCCTGCCATTCCTTAGATGTGACCTGGTGATGCTTCCAGGAAGGAGGGGTTTGGCAGTTCACAATAGATACCTTTTAGATTGTAAGCCCTCACGGGCAGGGCCCTCCTTACCACCCTGTCTTGAATTGTATTGTAACTGTAATGTCTTCCTTATATTGTACAGCGCTGCAAAAACTGTTGGCACTATATAAATCCTGTGTAATAATAATATTTGACAAAGCTGATAGCATTTGAGATTTCAGTTCAGTGAAGAGGAAGTTACCCGGGGAAACAACATTTTTGGCAAGATAAACAGGTATTTTTCTGTACTGAATTAAGAAAACTGATGCAGCTACCACTTCTAAGTATTGGTAAGCTGCAATATATAACATTTTTGTTTTTGGGTTTAGATATCATTTAACATTTTCGCTTCCACCGATTTATGTCATTTGTCAGCACGGACTTGTACGTAAACTCCTGGTTGCTATAACTGTAACCTGTCGTGCCCCCTCAATGCCATTTAAGTAATCTTAGGTGTAAAATATTAATTTGAACATGCGTGTAACTGCTGCCAAAACTTTTTTCTAGTTTTGAATAGCTTGGGGGAGAGTTAGAAACTATGCCAGATTTGTATTGATTCCTGTGCCCCTTTTGGGAAGGTTCCCCTTGGCTGCACTTATATCCATACAGGTAGCTCAGACCTGTTTAATCCAATTACCTTGGAAAGACAGATGTTATTGTTCAAGAATGAAAAAGTTGGTGAACCACACTCTCCTAGTTATATAATTCCATCTTTGGTGTCAGGAAGGTTTTATAGCTGTTAATCCTTTGATTTGTATGGCTGAAAGTGAGAAATGTTGTCAAAATGTGGGGATAGAGATGTTAAATCGGCATTATATGTGAAAGACAGATGGTGTCAAAGGCCCACACTCCTGTTCAAGATTGGTTGTTCCAGTTTGATGTAGATGGCCTCCTAACCAGTTATCCTGCCTGTCCAAAATGTGCACCTCACTGTCCTCGAAACATTTTTCCTTTTCCGTAAGACGTAGGATGCCTGCTGAGTATTGGCCCGTAGAACCTGCCCTCCTATGTTGGGCCATTTATTGGTTGAGAGGTTGTTTCTTCTCCCCAATGTGCAGGTCTTTGCATTCCTTACTACACTGCATATACCAAGTTAATTTGCTTGTGCCTGGGTGTTGTGATGTTTGGATTTCTCTGTGGTATGGTATGAATATATTACTCAATGACTTCTGGTTCTCTTGTCTGTACAATTGTCGCCTGTTTTTTTGCTTGACCTTTTGAATGTTTTAATGAAAGAAAAATATGGGTAGCCACAAACTTTCAAAGCACTCCTGAGATGTCTGCATTCTGTGTTTTTAGACTCTGTGTTTGATGTTACCATCTCAGCCTATTATTGGAGAGTTATAATAACTCCCAGTTTGTGTTCTAATGCTTGGAGGGAGGCAGAAAAGTAGATACTGATCTGTTTGGTGAGTTTCCTGTGGGCCTCAGTGTCAAATTCACCCCCTCCTTGACATATTAAACATAGCCCAAACGGTGTAATTTCCCATGTAAACTTAATGTTTTTTATCCACTGAATTTCCAATGCTCTAATCTTGACCCACATATCTTCCACATACCTGACCCAATGACTTGGTATTATTCCCCTGAATGAGTTGAAGGCTCTCCTCTCAACTTTTTTTCTATGTATAGGTTAGCTACAACAGTATATACAATTAATTACATAGCACAGCCATGTTTCTGTCTGTTGATCTTGTCCTTATAATTGAAATAGGTGGTGTCGAGGCAGAGGTCCAGCAAGGAACATACTTGGTCTGGCTTGAGTACTGTTCTACTGTCAAGTGTATTATCTCTGTCAGATGTTTCCTTACAGTCTCAATAGCCCCTGCAGTTGGTATACAAATGGAAAGGGGTCTGATATCATAGGACACCTTTGTCTCTTCTTGCTTCAGTTCAAGCACCTTGTTGATAAATTCTTTAGTATTTTGAATATGCGGTACTGTGTCTCCAGCTTGGGGGTGATAGTATAGTAGCCAGATTCTTATCAATATTATAGTTACAGAGTTCAAACCACTGACAAATGTTATTAGAGGGGTACCTCCCATGTGCATCTTAAGGGAATCTGAACAGGCATGGTGTAGCTTCCCTGGGATAGAGATGGTGGTACTGATCTGATTGATGGGTTTTACCTTTTCTAGCTGTTGTTAGCAGTCGATCAGCTTTTTCTTTTAACAGCCAGTGGGGTCCTATTTAGTGACTCATAAGTGGTGGCATTGCTGAGAAGAGTGGTAACTGTAGTATGGTTAATGGATGTATTCATGGCCATTGTGCACCTCCCCTTGTCTGCTGGCAGGATGGTAATGCTTATCATGTTATTGAACAAGGATATCTGCCTCTCCATGATGATTGGATTACGGTGTCTGCACTTCTTGTGTGGATAAAAATGCTGGGGTACTTTCCTGACACTCATTAGAACTGAAGAAGTGGCTTGGATAATCTATGTCTTCAACATTCAAATTCAAGGTCAAATGACTGTTTCATTTAACCTCTGGTTAGAAAGATTTCTACTCAATTTTCTGTCAGGTCTCAGGCACAGGAAGTAAAAGGAACTCTCCCAAGAATGGCCTTCCATACTCCATTAAAAACAACTTCAAGTAGTGCCCTATTACATTTTAAAAGGTTTTTACCCTACCAGTAGATATTGTGATTTTTAATTTCCTCTAGAAGGGTGACAGCATTGTTTTATGCTGCAATGAAATCACAGCAGTGAAATGTCTGTGAAGGATCTCATTCAACCAGGTCATGGTATATCTGTAAAAAATAAGTCAAGGCAACTGGACTTGCTGTATTTTTCTTGAAGGCGTTTCACTGGACATCCGACCAGCTTTCTCAATTCAGAATGACGATTCATTCTGAATTGAGAAAGCTGGTCGGATGTCCAGTGAAACATCTTCAAGAAAAATACAGCAAGTCAAGTTGCCTTGACTTATTTTTTACAGATACACAGTCCAATTCCAGGTAACACTTTTTAAGCAGTTATATCAACAGTTCTTTTTTCGTTGAAATAAATGTATAAACAATATGAATAAAAGCGGACTGTTGTAAACACCCCAAGCAGTGGTATAGTTACAACCCCTGTAACTTTGCTTTGTTTGGCTGCACAGCTTGGTGTGCATGTAAATGTACAAAAATATATAAATAAAGGCATTTAAAACTAAAAGAATTCCAATAATGAACACTATCATTACAAGTATTAGTCCCCTACAGATAACAAGCCTTTGAAATACCAATGCAGACATACGGTATCTAGAATACCGGCAAACACTCAGCTTGTTAATTCAACATTAGGACCCTAATTAGAATCTAATTTCAATGATTTTAGTGCTTCCATTAAAAGGCAGTCAAGTGGGTAGATGGGTCAGGGAAATGCCTTTGTGGTTTCACGTGATGTACACTTTGATAGTGTAATTAGTTTGTTTCTACTTCTTTCCTTTGCACCCTTAGTGTAGCCATAGAAAGCCACACACACCAGTCTAATCTAATGACTGGGAGAGAATCTGGCCATTCTTCCCTAGAGGGATATAAAGAGCTCATAAACCCATCAGAAGCAGTCTAAATGCTAATGCCACTAGAACATGATGCTTCTGGGAATAGAAACAAAGCACAATGCTGTGTGTGAAAGGGAAATTCCTGTTTGGTTAACATTTCATACGTATATATTCTTGCTAAAAATATGCTAACCATTTGAATATGATTTTCTATAATTGTGCAAAAATGTAAATTTGTCTGCCTTGCAACCATGGCAACAGTCTACGGTTTGTAGCCAGATTTCCATGTAATCCTTATCTCCCTCCTGTAGCAAGCTCACATCTTTTTCCAAAGTACTGCACAGTGCTTTAGGCAACCTGCTGAATGAAATACTGCAATGCCCATTGCACTGGGAGGTTCTTGTTAAGTGAAACTCTTACTAAAAGTGTTGCATGTCTAAGGGCTTGTTCACACTATGTTCGCTGAGCTGCGTTACTTTGCACACCGCCACACACGCATGGTGTGAACAGGGCACAAAATCAATTATTTTCTATATGCCCTATTCACTCCATACATGTGCGGTGGTGTACAGAAAAACGCAGCTTACAGGACATGTTGATAACAAGCTCTAAAGCCTTGGCGCTCAATCTGTGACCCTTTGGTACTTGTGCGGCCCCCGACCCCATGCAGATATTCATTGTTTCCCCTGCCTAGGTACTCACTCAGGCCAGTGACGGGAAATATTAAAACTGGCTTATACTTGGAAAATGGTTGGTTTATTTTTTCACACTTATTTTTTCTCTGATGTCAGTAACCTTTTCTCTTTTTTTTTCATAATGGTTCTCGATGGGAGGAATAGGAAATGTGGCACCTGTAAATAAGGTGACTACAAGGAGAACAAATGTGAACTATAATAGTGGTGATCTTTTTTAACTCTTTGTTTATTGCTCTCAAAATTCACAAATGTATACATATGTACAAAAGGCAAATATTGTAACGGTGGACAATAAAATAAATATATGTAAAAGATAAATAAATAAAAATAAAATAAGGTAAACTTACAGCGGATTTCTGAGATTTCATTAGGAAGGCCACAGTGGTTTCATCCCGAAGTCAAAGTAAGTGTAGATGCACACCATATATTCCAAACTTTATAAAATTTAAGAGGATAAATTCTCCTCCAATACATAATTTTCTCATAAAAGAAAATCTGGTTTATTACCACTTTCACAAGGATAAGCTAGAGGAAGTTGGGTTCAAATAAACCAAATAAGCAGATTTTGGGCCTTCACGAAACTGAGAGACTTAGTAGGTGATCGAGGAAGGCAGTCATGTAGATGGACTAGGGATAGATAGTCTGGTGGATGATTAACTGATTCTTGATTGCTGGTGAGACATACATATGAGACGAGTACATGGCGCTGCTCCTGAACAACCTCATGTAATATGTTCCTATTATCCGGGTCCATTATTTTTGAAGCATATCTGCAATCTCTAGTCATCTCCTATAGCATGTCTGCAGTCTGTGGTCATCTCCTGTAGTACATCCATAGTCTCTGATATTTTTCTGTAACATTACAATTTTTGATGTTCTTTTGGTGATGTCAAGGTGTTTTTGTGACCCCCTATTTCAAGTAAATGTGCCATTGCGGATATAAAGGGATTTCAGTTTCTACTGCAAAACCGGGACTGATAAGGGCAGAACCTCCTACCTAACATTTTGAAAAATGTGGCCACTTCAATGGAATGATTAATTGGTATCTACAGATCAAAAGCAAGTGGGGGGACTTTTTGAACCAAACTGGAATTTAAGGATACAATACAGTATTTCCAAAGTAATTTGATGGATCTCTTTTTTTAGTTTCTTCCTTGTCACTAACCAAACTAGTTTTCATGTTACTGTGCCAGATAGTAACATATTCCTGGGTACTGAACTCTTTCTATTTTGTTTTGTTTACATTGTTCACACTAGCTCCTTTTCTTTTCAGTCCCCTTTGTTTTGTTCGAGCCGAGACTGCACCCATGATGCTCATGTTGCAAGAATAGCTATACCTACAGGCAAATATAGACTTGATGCAAGTCATACAAAGGAAACCCTGATCATATTTTTATACACAGGATGTGGTCCTTGTGTAGAAGTAAAAGTGTTGGAAAAGAAAAGCAGATGTGTAACCATATCAGCTAAAGACTTCTTTTCCTTTTCTAACGCAAAGTAAAAATGACAGCTGGAATCATATTGGTTACTATGGGTAGTGGATTACAAATGTGTTTTCCACTAGGTACAGCAAGAACGTGAGTAAGTAGTTTAATATTTAGCATTGTAGCTTCTTAATGCAACAAAGAAACTGCATAGTAATGTTTGTGTTCTCGTTTGTGATGCTAGTTTACACACTACTATATTTAGACCGCTAATGTGATTGGGCCTATATGATTAGGCAGTGTAAAAAGGCAGTGATGGTGTGCAAATTGTAGTTCTCATAGTAGCCAATCAGAAATCATCCCTCATCGGTTTTAGGCATACCAAAGAATGAAGGATAGCTGACACCTTGTTATATACTACTGCACTTTGCACACTGCCTAAAAAAAATTCAGGCAGTTTGTTTCAGGAGCCCTTTGACATTACGGATAGTATTGTATGGCATATAACACATGTGGAAACAGATTATAAAGATAAATATCTAAAAAAAAAGACTTACATTTTTATGAATCTCTGTAGTGGTGAGTCTTAACGTGGTGTAACTCATAAATTAATATTTTATCTCTTTTGTACCATTCTCTTTCAGGTCATGCAGGACAAGATAATCTGTCTGCCAAAAAAAGTACATACAGTTCACAACGCTTCTATCTATAATTCTTCAGGTCCTGTCCTCAATGTGCCTCTTCCTGCTCCCAAGCCATTAGCCTCTTCTGGGACTGTGGAGATGAAAGGGTTAAAAACAGATTTGGATCTCCAGCAGTACAGCTTTATCAACCAGATGTGTTATGAGCGTGCTCTTCACTGGTACGCAAAGTATTTTCCTTACCTGGTGCTCGTGCACACCCTAATTTTCATGGTGTGCAGCAACTTTTGGTTTAAGTTTCCCGGATCAAGTTCCAAAATCGAGCACTTTATTTCCATACTTGGAAAGTGTTTTGAATCTCCCTGGACAACACGAGCATTATCTGAAGTGTCTGGTGAGGATCCAGAGGAGAAAGATAATCGAAAGAACAATATGAGTAAGACCATGGGTATCCCTGCTGTGGAGAATCCCCTTGTTAAGTCTCAGTCACTCAAATCCATACCAGAAAAGTTTGTTGTTGATAAAGCAGCTGCTGGGGCCCTGGATAAAAAGGAAGGCGAGCAAGCCAAAGCCTTGTTTGAGAAAGTAAAAAAGTTCCGGCTCCACGTTGAGGAAGGGGATCTGCTATATGTCATGTATGTTCGCCAGACCATCGTAAAGGTTCTCAAGTTCCTTTTTATTATTTGCTATAATAGTGCACTTGTTTCAAAAGTACAATTCACAGTGGACTGTAATGTTGACATACAAGATATGACCGGTTATAAGAACTTTTCCTGTAACCACACAATGGCACATCTGTTCTCCAAGCTATCCTATTGTTACTTGGGCTTTGTTGGTGTGTATGGATTAACGTGCCTTTATACACTTTACTGGTTATTCCACCGATCCTTAAAGGAATATTCTTTTGAATATGTTCGCCAAGAGACTGGCATTGATGACATACCGGATGTGAAGAACGATTTTGCCTTTTTGTTTCATATGATTGATCAGTATGATCCACTGTACTCAAAAAGATTTGCTGTTTTCCTTTCAGAAGTCAGTGAAAACAAACTGAAACAATTAAGCTTAAATAACGAATGGACAGCTGATAAGTTGAGACAAAGGTTACAAACAAATTCCTCCAACCGTTTAGAGCTACAACTGTTTATGCTGTCTGGTCTTCCTGACACTGTGTTTGAAGTTACAGAGCTCCAGTCTTTAAAGCTGGAAATTATGAATAATGTCATGATACCAGCAACAATTGCTCAACTTGATAATCTCCAAGAATTGACGTTGTATCAGTGCTCCGTTAAAATTCACACAGCAGCACTGGCATTTCTAAAAGAGAACCTGAAGGTACTAAGAGTAAAGTTTGACGATGTTCGAGAACTTCCACCTTGGATGTACAGCCTAAGGAACCTTGAGGAACTCTATCTTATTGGCTTTTTAAGCCCTGATGTTTCAAAAAATATTAACCTTGAGTCTTTTCGTGAGCTCAGGAGTCTAAAAATACTATTTATCAAAAGTAATTTATCTAAAATTCCTCAAGGGGCTGTTGATGTTGCTGGGCATCTTCAAAAGTTGTGTGTCCATAATGATGGCACTAAGGTGGTGATGGCAAACAATTTGAAGAAGATGGTAAACTTGACTGAGCTGGAGCTTGTACACTGTGACTTAGAGCGCATACCTAATGCCATTTTCAGTCTGTCATCACTCCAAGAACTGGATCTGAAAGAAAATAATCTCAAGTCCATTGAAGAAATTCTAAGTTTCCAACACTTACGCAAACTAACCATCTTGAAGCTTTGGTTCAACAGTATTACTTACATCCCAGAACACATTAAAAAGCTAACCAGCTTGGAACGGCTGTACTTCGGCCACAACAAAATTGAGGTGCTTCCTTCTCACTTGTTCTTATGTCACAAACTCCGATACTTAGACTTGTCTTATAACGACATCAGGTTCATTCCCCCTGAGATTGGGGTTCTCCAAAGCTTGCAGTATTTTTCAATATCTTGCAACAAAGTGGAAAGCGTTCCAGATGAACTCTACTTTTGCAAGAAACTGAAAACTTTAAAGATTGGAAAAAATAATTTGTGCTCGCTTTCACCAAAAATTGGAAACTTAGTTTTCCTTTCTTATCTGGATATTAAGGGCAATCACTTTGAGAGTTTACCACCAGAACTTGGAGACTGTAGATCCCTGAAGAAAAGTGAACTTATTGTAGAAGACATTTTGTTTGAGACACTTCCAACCGATATTAGAGAAAAAATGAAATTGGAGTAACACATGGTAGTCTATCAGCAGCTGGCACTACTGCATTGGTCTGTTACTTTTTGGCCTTGGAAATAAAATCACAAACTACTGTTATGTTGGAGGAGTTCTTGCTACACCTTATTAATGGACCTTAAACTGCCTTATGATTTTATTTTCCTAACTTGGCCCTTTTATAGTGGGCATTACTCCTGTATAAGATTTGTTGTTTTTCCTTAACACTTTATGATGCTTATTGATCTTAAATATATGGCATTTTAAAAAATTATTGCCGGGCAATATACATTTTATTAACATGTTAGTCTTTTGAATTTTTAAATGCTCAGGTACTGTCTATGGTTCTGAGAAACATTTTATGTTTTTTTGACCATATCCTGTTGTACAGTTATTTGTGTTTTTTGTTACCATTATAGGGACCAATACAATACTATTACATTAATTATATATTTTCCTGTAAAGTGAATGGATTCCAGAAAAATGTCAAAAAGTCATGTTATGTTGTGCCTTAAAGTGCTTACATAGGCAGACTATCAAAATACATACTCTAAATGCAAAACATAAGTTTAGTATTATGGCCAGAAGTGTTAATTAGTGCCTGCTATTCACTGTGCACACAGCTTTCCATCCCTATCTATCATTTGACTCATATCCTGCTAGCCTTGTGGTGTAACACTGTCACGAGGAAGAGAAGGGTAGACTGCTGAACAAATTTTTATTAATTCTGCGGTAATAACTATAACATTTTCTCTGACCTTAAAATCATAATAATAGTCTTATTTAACAAACACCTTACCTTACATTGCAAAACCTTATTAAATTATATTAAACAAATGTTTTCAATGGTCGAGGCAATAAAAAAATGTATTTATTAAATTGTGGAAGCTGCTTCACCTAAACACATTCTGTAGCTGCTGATGAGCAATTAAGAATAATTTTGTCCCATCCTGTTCAATTTGATCTATTTTTTGGATTGGCTTGTTTGATTGAACACCCTGCATCAGTTATTACACAGCAGTTTTATGAAACTGAAGTATGAACTATAACTCAGCCATTCTAAAATATGGAAATGTTGTTGCTATTAATTCACTCCTGTGTGTTGAATTATTTTCGTTGTCATGTTGCATGATCCAAATTCTTTTTTAGTTTTAGATCACAGACACTCTGATGTAGAAATTCCTAGTGCGGTGTGGAATTCCCTAAAGGGTTGAAAGTTGACCAGTTCACCCTGCTTTACCATTGGGATGGAGTTTTTGTGTTGCTATTATTTTTTTTCAAACACACACTGCTGTGTTCCTTTGCCAAAGAATGATGCTCATCTGTCCACAGGACTGTTTGGAGAGTTGTAGTTTCCTTTGTGATATCCATTCATAACATCACTCCTGATTCAGAGTTTTTATGGTAGAATCATGAGCACAGGTGCTTTATAGTCATCAAGAGATCCATGCAGAATCTTTGCTTTCATCCTAGAGATCTGCATGACCTGTTTGAGCATTGTACGGTGTACCCCTGCACTGATCTTTTTACGATACCTATTCTTAATAAAAGAAGTAATGCTAAATTTGTGCCTTTTGTAAACTATCTGCCTGACTAGGGATTGATGGATGTCCAAATCTCATCTCAATTTGCTACAATCTTCAGTCTAATGAGCTTTGACAACATTTCTTCTGAGGTTCTCTAAGATTTCTTTTGTCAGGCACCAAAGTATTGTTATACCCAAAGACCTAAATGAAGGTTTATCTTTCTACATATTAAAAAAGTCCCTACAGTACTGGTCTACCCAAAGTGTGATTACAGTTACTCTAGGGTTACAAAATATAACGCTGCCCTCCATGCAAGTTGATCTGTAAACAGAGTTTATTCAGAAGTGAAAATAAAGCTTTTGTCATGCTAGTGTTATATTACCTACACTTTTCTAACTTAAAGTGAAACTTTACATTTAAAAAAAATGGTAAAGCAGCTACAGTGCCTGGAACCCTCTAAGACACCCCCTTCTCCCGTGTTCTCAAATGCAAATACCAACTTTGTTTCACAAAGGTTAAGGCTGGCCCACTCCATACCAGGCCTACCTGTTGGTTCATCCATTATGCTTTATGATCTATAAGCAATTATGGGAGGAGTAGACCAGTTTGACTTTGCAAAGTTAGCATTTGCATATTGAAGCTCCTCGATTTTTAGAAGTCCTGGGGCACTCAAGAATAGAGTGAAAGGTAAGCATCAACCTGATAATACCTACCTTATATTACTATTGATTGATTTACAATATTTAATGAATGAAAAGGTTGACTTGAAGGTACTCCTAGAACTTAGATGACAGTCTTGTTACGCAGCAATGTCTTCTCTCCACTCTGCATTGAATTAAATGGGTAAACTTAACAGACCAAGACCAAGCTTATAAGTTTATGGAACACTCTGCAGTGCTCTGATGATTTTTTTAAGCTTTAATGTGGTTGCATTGTACCAGCACATCCAGCACCCTCTGGAGGGCCTGACCCGCATAAATGTAAACAATCTTGCTCAGTCCACCACTTTGGCTGCCTTTAAACAAAAGCGGGAGATAGAATGGAACAATAAATTGTACTTCTTTACTGTTATGGCAGATGCAATGAAAGTATGAACACTTAATATATGACAGTCAAAATCTTACATTTGTATCTGAATGTTACTGTAAATTACTTTAAAAAGTTATGTATTTAATATTTCTGGTCATTTTATAGGATTTTGAGAACTTATCATTTGTTCTTTTGTTTTTCATGCTTGTATAAATGGTTCATAAAACACTCTTTTCTGTATTTGGCTTGAGTCTTTAGGTGGAATTTGGATAATTCTGTATCTTTTGGTATTATTATTTATTATTACAGGTATTTATATAGCACTGACAATTTATGCAGTGCTTTACACAGTGTACATTCACATCAGTCTCTGCCCTTAAGGAGCTTACAATCTAAGGTCCCTATCTCACAGGCACACATATAAGGGCCAATTAGGACCAGAGCTAATTAACCTACCAGAATGTCTTTTGAGTGTGGAAACTAATTTGGAGTACCCAGAGGAAACCCACGTAAACACAGGAAGAATATGCAAACATGACCTGGCCAGGATATACACATAGGTCTTGTATTTCGGCCCCTGGCTTGGTTTACCCTTACTAGTATATTAAAGCAGAATACTATCCTAAGCATTTTTGGATATAGTGTAACACTCGCCCCAGGGGGTGTGGCTTTAAGGACCGCAGCTGCGGATGAGGCTTCTATCAAGGAGGACGGGTATCAGGTTGCAGCTCTACCTCTGGAGCCCAGTATGTGAATAAGGCGAGGAGGGAGCTGCTTCACATAACGCCCCGTATAGCAACACGTCAACCCTGTATAGCAACAACAGGTTAGGTATGGAGGATTCAGCAAGTAATGTGAACAGTATGCAGTTCAATAGGTTATATGAGTAGTATAGCTCACTTAGGATCAATGGCAGTTCAATAGGTTATATGAACCGTACAACTCATTTAGGATCAGTGGGAGTTCAGTAGGTTATATGAACAGTACAGCTCACTTAGGATCAATGGCAGTTCAATAGGTGATATGAACAGTACAACTCATTTAGGATCAATGGTAGTTCAGTAGTTATATGAACAGTACAGCTCACTTAGGATCAAATGGCAGTCAATAGGTTATATGAACAGTACAACTCATTTAGGATCAATGGCAGTTCAATAGGTTATATGAGCAGTACAGCTCACTTAGAATCCATGGCAATTCAATTGGTTATAGCCAACAGCTATGGCCGGAATACTTGCGGTTGTGTGACACTCCTGGTGTGGGAGAATGTAGGCTTAGCTCGTTCCCTCGAATAAGCTGGTTCCTGGAGTGGAGCAAGTGGAGGCTGGTTTGGTCAGCGTCCTGCTTACAACAACAGTGGGACGCCGATCAAACCGCGGACCGCAGCTTTATGCCGACGGCTCGAGTGAGTGGGCGGAGTCTCGCGGCGCGCCTGCGCAGTAGCGGCGACGGACCCCGTCCGAGAGTGGGCGGAGCCTCGCGGCGCGCCTGCGCCGTAGCGCGGACGGATCTTGTTCCTGGCCGTGGGGAGATGGGATTGTCACAGACAGCTAGCTCCGCCCAACTGTTTCCTATTGGCCGGTACCTAATAGAGTCTTCTAGCAGGTCCCGGCCAATGAATAACACCTGGGGGGAGCCAGCGGCGACGTCGCGGCCGGCTCCGCCCAGTTGTTATTGTTTAATGACAGTTCAGCGTCCCCGGGTCATTTGGGGACGCTGATCTGTCATTACAACCGGGCGGAGCCAGACGTGCGATCACCACTGGCTCCACCCAGCTGTCATTTGCGGGGTGAAAGGTTGGCCGTTCTCCCCGTTTCAGCTGACACTCCGGCTCAGTGGAACCGAAGCATATGCCTTTGGCTCGGGTGACCGCGTCTGCTGCCTGTGTATTGTGAATAGCCCCCTATGGCTATGTTTGCCACCTGTCCAGGATTCACCCGGACAGTCCGGGTTTTGAATGCTGTGCCCGAGTGTCATGGCAGCAGAAACCCGGACACAAGATGTCAGGCAGACAGGGGCAACCAAAATTAGGATAGGGGCTACTGACCCCCCACTGAAAATAGTCTCAGCTGTGATATTCACATATAAATGTGCGGTGCTATTTACATAGGAATAAGCTGCGACTCATTCTCCCCCAAAAATGTCCGCGTGCCGCTAGAGTGTTCGGGTTTCGCATGAAGAAAAGGTGTCAACCCTAGCTCCGGTGACTGAAGAGTGCCGAAGGATCAGCCACGGCTACGGCTGGATCCTTCGGCTCCTTCGTGAATAACCCCCCAAAAGTCCCATCTCCCCCCTCCTGAGAGTCCTGACAGGTCATATGAACAGCTCGCAGCGTGATCCTGCGATGGCGGCCGATGATGTCACCGCTGCGACTAGACAAGCTGGACGGACGGGTTTTCCTGTATGATGAGTTGCTGCGTCTCCTGTCACATGACACAACGAGTCTCCCGATATTCCGAGAGAAATTAAAGATCTTCTATTAGAAATGAATCTGTGAATTAGTCACAAGAGACGGAACTCGGAGATGACAACGCGAGACAGAGAGGAGCGAGAAATCCAACGCCGTGTGCCGATGTCGCAGCAAATTACCTCGGCTTATATTCGGGACGGCTTATACTCGAGTTTATACGGTATATCTTTATTTTTCTTCCTAGACCTAAACCTTAAAGAAAAATGAGCACTTAACCCTTGCAGTGTAGGGGTAGCCCCATTGCAAGAGTTAATTAAACGTTTTTCTTTAATTATTAAAAAAATACATTTTATTTAATCTAATAAAATCTGTTTTTAATAAACATAAGCATTTATTGTACAGTATCACACATTGTATGCCTATGCCCCCAACAAACCTTTATTATCGAAAGCATTCTCCTCTATCATGTCTTCATGTAAATATCATCCATAATGTATACATGTATGAAGTGAGTGACACAGTAGCCCATATTAACAAGGCATAATGAATATGTGTAATTGCATTAAATGAAGAAAATTCTGTGGAATTTTTCATAAAGTTCTTCATAAATATGTTTTCAAATCGTAACTTTCGTTTGATTAATAGGGATAGGCTAGAACTAATAAAAATACAATGTGGAAATTACTATATGATTTTGCATTTTGA